ACCAGACCAGACCAGACCACATCACATCACACCACAATACACCATATCACACCACACCTAACCTCGCCACATCACACCACACAACATGCATGACATGACCCCACCCAACCCCACCCAGCCACACCGCATTTCTTACTATAAATATTATTAGGCATAACTCTCCTCTTTCTATCTCCTCCATGTGTTAGGTTTTTGGTTTCTTTGCTACGATTGCTTTCATCGTCGACGCTGCCTTGCATTTCTGGCAATTTTGGTCCAAAAGGAGATCTGGTAACAACGGTTCCACCGACAACCCAGCCGTAACCAAGGTAGCAGAGAATCCTGGGCCGTCGACGATGCAAAACCAGACACAACAACAGGTCCCTCCAGTACAGACACTTGGAGCTCCGCCTAGATACGATGCACTAACCAATCTCCCGGGACAGATACCAAATACTGCGGGACAGATGCCAAATACTGCGGGACAGATGCCAAATACCGCGGGACAGATGCCAAATACCGCGGGACAGACCGCCCTAAACCCTGCAGGACAGACAGTGGTCATGTATCCTCCAGGACAACAATATCAAGCCGCTTCGGGACAGCCAGCGCAAATGTGGCAAGTGGCCTAATGTAGGCAAGCAGATACTAGTAGCTGGTTGATAAACTTACTAGTAAAGTGAATCGTCATTTAACAGGATTTAAGGTAGCTAAGTGTAGCTGTATTCTTCGGCATCAGTAGTAAGTACACAACAAGTCACAAGGCATAATAGAAGCCTCCCAACTCACGTCACTTCAACACTGCAAGGACGTACGGTTGTCCGTTGCACTGCAGTGGAACACTGTTTTGGTATTGATGGTTTTCACGACGACCATGTTGGAGGAACTTAACAAAAGAATTGTCAATGAATTATTTTGTTATTTCCTCCAACATGGGCACCGTGTCTTTTGTTATTTAATTCTCTTGGGAGTGGTTGAAAACCATCAATTACGATGCCCCTCCCTACCCCGGTAGAGGGGGGACTATACGATAGAGCTTTTAAGTTGTGGCGTATTTCCGGGTTCAACTGCTCACAAAAACCTCTAAAATAAAGCGAAAAATGTTGTCAATGAATTAACCTTCACCTAAAACAATTAGAACTTTGGACAACAAATCCTGTAATGAGTAAAAACCCGGAAGTCGTTTGGACCGGAAGTCGTTTGGACCCGGAAAGTCGTTTTCCATACGATTGACGTCACACTTACTGTAAAAACTCTATTGTAAAGGCGCAATTACGAGCAGCAATTTTCTCTGCAACTTGTTTTGCAACACAAGTTGCATGGACTCATTGCAGCGTGTAACCTACATCTTAATTTGAAAAATGTTGCGAGACAAGTTGCAGCAATCACTGCGAAAAGTGTAATCTCGCCTTAAAAGGGTGGGGATGCTCGTCGTGTGATACCTCTAAGGGTGCCACATTGAATTAAAAGGACAAGCAGAGAGTAAGCCAGTACCTCTTAGGGTATTTGTCAGGAATTATATGATTAGATACCTAAGATTATATTAATGACTTGTCAATTAGACAWTGGATAGTTCAGGACTCTTAAAAATATCTTAATGGCAATGTGCGGGCTAAGCCTCGAATCTAGGAGTTGCTTGTCTACTTTTGTTTTGATATTTTGGCAAGAGTYGTGAATTGATATCTTTTGGGGGTAAAAATCATTAGTTGCCACACCCACCTGGACAAGACTCGGGTACCTTTTAGGGGTCATTTTCAAAATTTGCGACKAGTCCCCCTCCCCGGGGACCCTCCCTCATGGAACCGCTCAATTTGGCTTCCTTTTTTTCCAACTCCTTTCGTCCCTTGCCTTTGTGATTGTCTAACAAGGTCATCTCCTGTTATAGGAAGGAGATCCGAGGCTGATCCATGCAGGTGATAGAATCATTAATAATATGATTTAGCGATAAGTGCACGTTGTTGTTTGAATCCTTATGCGAGGAAATCAGTACTGCAAAACAAACCGTTTTCAGGTTAGGTTAGGGAGGGTGATAGCATTTTCGTAAGAACAAACAACAAAGAATATATGATAGGAAAATTAGTAGCAGTGCCATATTTTACTCAGGGGTGGATCCAGGGGAGGGTTGCAGGGGGTGCGCACCCCTCCCTGGTTCCACTTTGTGCCCCTACTTCGAAGATAACCAATACTGATTTTTCCCTTTGATTCTAAGTTGTGCACCTCTCCCTGGGTTAACTTTGTGTGCAGCACCCCTCCCTGAACAAAATCCTGGATCCGCCCCTGAACAYTGTGAACATAAAGGATTCAAGATTGCAATGCAAGTATGCTTTATAGCCATCATGCTTATTTTCCTGCCCCCTCTCCTCCCCCTTGAGGAGAAAACATTTTCTCCCTAGGGGTGGAGGGAGAGGGGAACTCTGCCTACAGTTTAATATACTTTGGATTTTTTAGAGTTATCATGATTACAAAATCCAGATTTGTCAATAATAGCAATTTGGATTGTCTATGGTTGAGCTAGTATTTACAGCTTTTCTAGGCTCTGTTCATTAATACAGCTTGCTTACAGTAGCCTGCTTAGCAGCCCAGTGGGGTGGGGGCAGAAGGAACAATGAGCACCCATCCTCCTATATTTTCCTATACTTATAGACATGTGATGTCAAAGTAGCTCAATTTGGAGGACAAAACAAAAGAATTTCAATCTCCTGAGAATTGGAAACCTATTGTTATATCCTCCAAATTAAGCTTCATTCTAGATCCGACGTGCTGCAAGGGGTCTATTAGGCTGCTATGCAGGCTAGCTGAAAGTGACAAAAGCATGAAAGAAATRTCATGGATGAGAATGACATTGCTATGGGCAAGTGCTTCTCTTTTTTTTTGTAGCTTGAAAAAGAACCCCATTTTATTYGTTTTAGAAATAAGAGATGTGATTATAATGTTGTAGGTTTTAAATGMTGTTTTCTTTCACAAAGTCATCTGCACATGCATAGATGCTTAAGTACAGTTCTCAACCAACAGTTCTTGACCAATCAGAGTGTACATAGCAAGGTAACTTATAGAATAATAAAATGAGGTGAYCTTTTTACTTTTTACACATTGCATATTATGCATTATTGGATACTTTACAGTATTATTATTGACCTTCTCTAAAACGCCAAAATAATTTAAACACACGTTGAATGAGTGACACACTAAAAAAAATTTTCTCTAACAAGGCTATATTATCAGTTACATGATGTCCAAGATAGGCTTTTGAGCCTCAAACAATGACAAGCATAGAAAAGTCCACTGGACCAAACACAAGTTATAGTTACACAAACCTTTTAAATAATACTTAGTTTGCATGTTAAAGTCGACCATGTTTGACAGTTAGTCCCTTCTTTTACATTTAAGGGAATAATTCTAGACCAATAGCATTTTACGCTAACTAATTAACAATTATTCGCCGAACGCTTGAAGACTCTTGTCTCGGCAAATATTCCCATATATTCACAGAGCCTCAGTTGAGTAATTGTTTTAGTATTCTTAACACAAGTGAATTTAATTAATAACGGAGAGCGAGTTTTTTTGTTTGTTCAAATTTTATTTATCTCTGCAAGGAGCACAAATCGGCAAACTAGCCTGCATGTTATATTYACCTGTAGGTAAATATAACAGCATTAGATATTATTCACTTGGGTAAATATACTAAAAACAGATATCGCAAAGATTTATTGGATCGAAATGTGGACAAACATTGCAAATAAAGGCTTCAGTAACATGGAAAAGTAGAATAATAACAGTCAAAAAAACATAGTTTTCCCATGAAAATTAACATGGCTTGCCTTGTCCGCATTTCAATTCCATGATGCACAATTGTGACATCAACTGTGGAAACACTATTGATCCGTAGAGCTCACATACTAGAATTGCTCAGCCCCRGGGGGAGGTGCTGCTCTACTTGAGCGGTTTTGAATGAAGAAGAACACAGCATCAGCGATAAACAGAACAGTTGCCAGAATACCAAAGGCCTGTGAAAGAAATTAATACATATTAGTATAATTTTAGACTTGAATAGACCCCTTGCATGTGATGTCAAAGCAGCTCAATTTGGAGGACAAAAAAAAAAGATTCTAAATTTTAATCTCCTGAGAATTGGAAACCTATTGTTATGTCCTCCAAATAGACCCCTTGCATGTGACGTCAAATCAGCTCAATTTGGAGGACAAAACAGAATTTCAATCTCAATGGGAATTGGAAACCTATTGTTATGTCCTCCAGATTGAGTTGCATTCCCACGTTCTGCAAGGGGTGTATTAAACGAATCAAAGTCAGTTTTCTATAAGTCTGTACTGTAATAGAACATAAAATGACGTCAAAAATGATCCAAACTCAATTGGAACCACAAGTGCAGTGGGGAAAAAAATTGAACCAAAAGACAAGTAAATAGTTTGAAAAAACTGTTTCATCTGTTCGCTCAGTGTGTGTGACGGATGTCGTAAGCACAAGCAGGTCTGGCCTCTAATCAACAATAGTTTTGAGCCAATCAGCACGCGAGAAATTTCATGTGGAAAACGTAGCAATGACAGTGACTACATAGAGAARCATGCGTGCAGTAAAATTAATATATTTTTCCAAACTGATGTTTCACCAGAGGGCTTTAAACAGGTAAAAAACAAGTGGCCTTGGTCTATGAAACAATCCTCAGATGCTAGATTGGTCTGTATTCTCATAATACCTACCCCTGCAGCTTCTATGTTTGCACATTTTTCCACGGTGCAGAACCCTACATAGTCTTGCGTTGACTTAAGGTGTTCTCTGTGTGATCTGTAAAATAAGACAGCATCCAGAACAAGTGCAGATGTCAGAAGAAGCAAGACTGCTGTCACCACTGAGTACACCATCAACTGGGAATCAAAGTAAAAAACAAATTGAAGGTTAAGATATTAACAACAACAGGCCTTTCTTGGTGTAAATTCAGTTTAGGAAGGAGTCATCATACATTCGTTTACTTACAATCCATAAAATCCCACCAGCCCCCCCCCCCCCCNCCCCCTCTATTGCCCATAAAAAATGAACAGTCCCCGATCTGATATAGTCCACATACCACTATATTCCAGTTAAAATCCAATCTGTGGTTTAAGTTTGAGGCAAAGAGTAGAAAGATGACAAGGACAATAAGCCAGCTGGTAATAGTTGCGAAGTAGAAAAAATCATATCTTCCTCCATAGAGTCTGTCGCTATGTGAAGAAGTAAATCCTGTGAGGGATGCAAATGCAACCAGTAGGAGTATCTATAAAAAAAAAAGTTTAAACGGGAAAAATTACCAAGTTTGTCCACTTCATGGTGAGGAAATATGATTGCCAAATTAGTTTTAGCTTAGACATACCCTATTTCTGGCTATAAACATGACTTTTCAGTGTGATAAAATAGTTGATCAAGGTGCGCAAAGCATGCTAGGTTAGCATACTTTTGTCATACCTTTAATACTTCTAGCTAAACATTACTAGTCCATACCTCCACCATGGAGGGGAATTGGAATTTCCACGGGGTGGGTCTGAGAAGAGTATTATTGTGTAGTTCCAGAAATATCATTGAGGCTTTGCACTATCACGTGATGGTAACCATGACAGGAGGCACAACGATATAGCCTTTTCACATGGGAAATTGAATTCTTTCTTATGTAAATCACATTAAACCAGATTCAATTGTTCTTGCCTCCTGTCATGCCTGCCATCCCTTGATGGTGCTTCATATACTTGGCTGTTGTTTCATATATGAAACACTGAAAAGTCACGTTTAGCCAGAAATAGGGTATGACTAAGCTAAAACTAATTTGGCCTCTGACCGCCACCCGGTTAGCTCAGTTGGTAAGAGTGTCGGTCTGTTGTGCGGGAGGTCGTTGTTCAAGCCTCGGCYGGACCAACACTGACAGGGTCTTAAAATAACTGAGGAGAAGGTGCTGCCTTTGTAATTATATCTGCAAATGGTTAGACCTTAACGTGGCTCGGATGATCACGTTAATGGTGGTCCCGTCCCTAATTAACAGAGGACCACAAGTTTATCAGTTGAATTACTGTCAAGTGTTATCCTCTATAAACAAAAGTTAATTTATTTTAATTTACATATTAGGCCAAACAAAAAAATAAGTGTGTTTTCTGTTGCATGAGAAAAATAATTGGGGTYGCTAGGTCGGATTTTTCTTTACTGATACAACAGTGGAAATGAGTGTACTGGGAACCCTGTGGTGCATTTGGGAATGAAAACAATATTAGGGTCGGCAAAAATCGGCAAGAAAATTGAGGTCGGTCACGCAACAGGAAACACACATTTTTTTGTTTGGCCTTAGCCATTCCCAGGTTGTGGAAAAAACATGGTCRAGTTGGCATTGCAGTGCATTGTGGGACTGTTAGGGGACATTTTCAAGATGGTGTCTATTTCATCCCCTCAATTACAGCCTCAAAATGCACTGCAATACCAATTCCAACCGGTTTTTTCCTCAACCTGGAAATGGCTCATATAAGACTAAAAGACCAAATGATTCAAGACTCACAAATTCTCCTATTTTGATTATCCCAGGAAGGCTCACTACATATGATGTGTTTAAACATTCATTACCACGTACTGCACCAGGTGGCCTATGGGCGTTGTCGTCCATCTTGATAATTGTGGCAGAAAACTGCGCCTAACAAGTTACACATAATGAAATCAGTCATTTATTTTAATAACATAAGGCAAATCCTTAACGTGTACAGTCAACTCTCGCCTTGCAGACACTCTTGTTGACACCTTGCTATTTAAGACAGGAGAAAAATCCCCGGCAAAAATACTGACAAAGTTCCAATAAGGGTGCACATACTACTGGTATCTAAATTTTAAAATTGGTTACAAGGCTAATAAAGAATTAGTTAGTTATAACCGTACCCTGACTTAGATCATTCCATAGTAATGTTTCAGGGTYTAATCTGAGAGTTAGCCATGCCCTGACTTAGATCAGACCAGAGGTTTTTTCAGGGTTTGATCTGTGAGTTTGCYGTRCCCTTAGATCAGCCCAGAGGTTGTTTCAGGGTTCGATCTGTGAGTTAGCCATGTCCTGACTTAGATCAGCCCAGAGGTTGTTTCAGGGTTCGATCTGTGAGTTTGTCATGCCCTGACTTAGAACATTCCACAGGTAATGTTTCAGGGTTTGATATGTGAGTAATAGCTATGCCCTGACTTTGATAATCCCAGACGTCGTTTCAGGGTTCAATCTGTGAATTTGTTGTTGATCAAACTGTTGTGTGTTTGTTGGACTGAAGCCAAAACAAAAGGAAATATGCCACGTCTGAAGTTTAGGCTAGGTCACAAAAATATCAAAGTAATCTTAAACATATATAAGTTAATCAGCCTTTTTTTAAATATTCATTTGATAATCTTTTTTAACTARTGACTGATTAAGTGGCAAAGATTCAACCATAATATATATATATTAGTGGGCTCACATTGGCATAACATAATGCTTATTTAAAATCAAATACGTAGAGTTTAAAGAATGTCTTTGATATTTTCTGTTGTTTGTTCATTTGTTTTGTAAATTTAGAAACACATTGAATACCTTAAACTATCCACTCATTCATGGTGATGTATTATGAACGAAGATATGTATCTATTAACATCAAAGCTCGGGCTCCCAAGTGTTTTATAGGTACTGGCCTTCACATTATAGGATTCATTGCCTTGAAATGTACTAAGACAGTATGCTTAAGCTTAGAATAATTTAAATGATAGAGTCAAAACAAAATAGGAATCTCTTAAAGACCTACTTCCTTGTAAGATATAGATATACACAGCCCAAATCTACTATAATATAATAATAATAATACTCACACTGGCCTTTCATTCATAATTCTTTCTTCATAAGTCAAACAAATGAACGGAAACAACTATTATACTTTAGGTAAAGATATTTGGTTGGCAAAAAATGACATCATTGTACATCTTATGATATCAAATATTCTCATTCCTAAATATAGACTGTCTTGAATTTTACTATGTTTTTCCTGGAAATTTTTTTTTTCAAATAGTGGTTTGGCATTAAATTTAATGCAGTAGATCGAAAATATTTATTTCAAATTTTCTCTCGACCATCGCCTTACTTTTAGCTCCATATTGTTTTTTTTATATTTTAATGCTGCAATATCAAGTTTCTTTGAAAAATTATTTTTAAAATATCCTGAAAATTTGCTTTTAWGAAATAGTATTTTTCATAATTTTAGGGATAGAATCAAGAAATCATAAGCTAAAAATAAAAAATAGTTATAATAATAATATGATATTGGAAGCGTTACTGATTAATAGCGTTACTGATTAGTAAATATTACTAGTAAAAAAGGTAGAATTTGTCCTTATTTTGCAAGCAGATATTATTAACTGGGTCAAAGTAATAATACAGTAACTAAGGGTGATAATTTAAGAAAAAAACCGCGATAGAATAGTGAATTAAAAGAAAAATCTCGACAAAAAAATGCTAAAAAATAAGCTTATATCGTAGACTAAGCTAATATGTCTTGCAAAAGTAGGCAGTATTTTTGTACCAAAGTGTACGAATATTTTACAAGTATTAGCGTAATAATTGAAGATTATAATTAATGTATAGGAAGGTTATTAACAAATTGAACTAAAAGCAAGGCAGGCTTCAACAAAACCAGCTAAAAAGACTCATTTTTTAAGGGTTCGGTGAAGTTCTTTACGTTTCCTTTACAAAATTCAGCTGTTTTTGGTGGAGTGGGCTCAATTTTCTCTTCACAAAACATAGAAAACACACCMAAAAAAAACTAACATTTCGCAAAGGATAAGTCTAGACATTGAACAAGGGATACGCACCTTTTACTTTCCAAAAATAAGGGACGAAAGGGTTTTTTTCTGCTTGGAAAAGCCCCGCTTCCTTGACAAATAATCAGTCAATGACCTGAATATGATTTCAAATGCAAATTATTGTTTGCAGCTCACAAGAGAAAACAAAGCCATCTGATTGGTCCATCTGTCACCATAAAACCAATCAAAATCATCCTTTTATGTCTAAAAATATCGGATGATCCGATGGATGATCTAACCAATCAGATTTCCTCTTCTATTTTGGTAAAGAACCTCGTTTGGATTTTCTTTTTACGAAAAAATGGCGGTAGAACTTGCTGTCAGAGTCTTTGCAGGAACGTCTCAAAATTTTGACTAAATGTGAATGAAAAAACCTTTTAGAAATATTCAAAATGGCGTCCCAGGCATCTATGCAAGACACTCTAGACAAGTGTAAGTCTTTTGGTAAATTTAAGCCGTTTTTATAACATGTTTGGAGTAATTTTGTTAGTGAATGACGGGAAGGATTTGTTGCGATTTTTCAGTGAATGAAACTTTGCCTGTACGGCTCACTGCTGGCGACTTAGAATACAACCCTGAGTTTGTAAAGCTCTTGGTAGCATTGTGTAGGCATGTTGATGAAAAAGGAACGAGTACGAGAACTATAAAAGAGTATGACAAGGTACGTGTATACAAAACCAATAGGGGAGGGGGAGGGGATTTAATATCACTGGAATCGTTGCAGGATGATAACTCTTAGTGGGAGGGGGGAGGGGGGCTTAAGTGGTTAGGGCTTAAATGGTAGTTGAGTATTATATGATAAATATAACTCTTTTCCTTAGGCGTAATGTTTTCCCATTTTCGACCAGTCCTGTCATTCTCTTGAGAATAAGTTCCCTGCTAGCAAAGTCTCTCTTCTCTTTCTCTCCCTTCTTTCAGGCAGGGAGGAAGGAGACTCTGCCGATGTAGAGCGTTCCCTTTGATACACCGCCATCCACCAGTTTTAAAACCAGTTTTTAACCGATTACATGTAGTGCGCATGAGCAAATGTAACACACCATGGCGCCAAACATTGTTTGACGAGAGCGGCTGTCAAAATCATGACAGCGTTGCTAAGTTTCTGCGCGACAGAAATAACGTCCTACATTAATGGCAGAGTCTATTTTTCTCTCTCAACCAAAACAAAAGGAAAATAGGCTCTGCTAGCAGGGAAGAGAATAAGAGGCGCAACTTCAGAATACCCGGTCTAATGATATGCACACATTAATCCCCTTGTGTTCTTCTATCGTTATTGCATTGTTTTCAAAAGACTTGCTTCATAATAAAACAAAGTGCATGGCCGGGTATTCTGAAGTTGCTCCGAAAAAGATTCTTTGTTTAAATGGTATTCATATTCATGTGTCTTCTCATGTACAACCGTTAATAAAGAAATTGGAAAACATTTATTGCGCACCAGATAAAATGGACTATTCAGTTCCTTGTAAATATGGAGCATGGGTGGTTTAACCATGAAAGTGCTCGCCTCTCACCAAAGTGACCCAGGTTCAATTACCAGACTCAAAAGTTGAAAAGTAATGGGGRAAAAAGTTTTTTACCATCCTAAAGTTGGTCTTGATAGGGGAAAAATGTGCCCTCGGTCTTGATAACAGACCTCTGTTTGACAGCTTGTCCATGTATTCAAGACCTCTGGCACAGTTTTTTCCCTGTCCAGACCTCCTGGCCAGTAAATAACATATATATGTATATTTATTATGAAGATGATGACAATGACAATAATTAGAGGTTGATATCTTTGTGATATCTGTTCCCAGGTCAAAGAAAATCTAGAAGAAAAGAAAAGGAAATACCTTCAAGTGAATACATTATACACCGAAATAAAAGACATTCTAATGGATTATACGATGACCAAACAGGAGAGCAGAAACTCCAATACTGAGAACCAAGTAGGTCACTCTTACAGTAACTTGAATCCATACTCAGGGTTCATGCTACTCCTTAAACTCCTTGAAAACTCCTTGAATTTAATTCACATTTTCAAGGGCACTTGAAAAGCTCTTGAATTTTATGATTTTAGCAAAACTCCTTGAATTTTTGCTATGATCAYTACTTGCATGGTTCTGAAATAGGTCTAGTCAGAAAGATCGGAAAATCTGAAAGTTGACCATGTGCAACYACCGTGTAAAACCTTGGCATAGTTAACTGAACGTACTCCTTGAAAATTCATTTTTGGGTATTTGTATACTCCTTGAATAGTCCTTGAATTTTAAGTGGTTACCTCAGCRCGAACCCTGCATACTGTAATTTAATTAAATATAAGATTATGGATAAAACGTGTAGAATATTTWAAAAACATGACCTTTCAGCTATGACTAGTGATAGCCTTCATCAGAATGATGACGAAAATGAGTGAAGCACGTATATTATGTAAACAAAGCGTGGGAAGAGGTAATAAAGCGATGAATGATTGACATGTCTATAGTTTTCTGGTGGGGTTGTCATGACAAAGGCGGTCAGAGTCACTAGTGTTCTTGATAAGTCTAGCCCAGGTAGAACTAAGGCGGTAGGAATCTTCTATTATGTTGAAATTATTAGGGCATTTGAAGGTTTTGATAAATTCTTTGATGAATCAAGGGAAGTATTTGGAGGTCTTGGGTGTAAAGATGTATTTTTGTAAATTTTTTTAGGAATCCTTTGTTCTTTTATTCCCAGGTCTACAATGCCCTACAAACAAGTCTATCTAGTGCAGAGGCAATTGATTACTTAGATTTCACTCCAGAAGGAGATAACAATGTCACTTTACTTGGTTTAAAGCCTGATGCTCTATTGCCAAATACTGCACATTTAAGAAGCCAACAACAGGTTTGTGATTAATAATGATGAGGATGATGATGATGATTATAATGGTGATGGTAATTATGGTGATGGTGGTAGTGATGATGGTGATGATGATGATAAGGTGATGATAGTACTGATGATGATGATGGTGATAATGATGATGATGATAAGGTGATGATAGTACTGATGGTGATGATGATGGTGATGATAGTACTGATGGTGATGATGGTGGTGGTGATGATGATGATGATGATGATAAGGGGATGGTGGTGGTGATGGTGGTAGTGATGATGGCAATGGTGATAATGATGATGATGATAAGGTGATGATAGTACTGATGGTGATGGTGATGATGATGGTGATGATGATGATGGTAGTGATGATGAGGATGGTGATAAATGATATAATGGTAGTGATGTTGGTAATAATGATGGTGATGACAATGATGATGATGATAGACATTATTTAGTGGGTGACAAGACACATGGGACAGTCAAACTTAGCATTAATAAACTTATGGCTCTCCATCTGAAAGAATATAGGACTGGCATTTTATGCTCTCTGAGCCACGGTGAAGGTCTAACCATTTGCAGATATTTTTAGAGCGAAGGCAGTATCTTCTACTCAGATTTTTTTCCTCTTCTTTTTCTTAAAAGAGCCTTAGTGTTGGTATGGTCGAGGGTTGAACTCACGGCCTGACCCACAACACAAGCCAGTTCCCAGCCAATCTTCTAAAATGAGAATTGTAGGATTTTGRAATGTTAGATCTGAATTGAATGCTAATATATTTTCTCTTTGGTATGTGTTATTAGTCATTTCAGCAGTATGTTATTCCTGAGCTGGAATCAAGGATGAAGTCCAAATGTGAATTGATAGTCAACGTTCATGATCCAAGCACAAATAATGGTAAGTGGAGTATATTGCTAATAGACTATTAATTAGCAATTAGTCCTCAAGCGAGGATGCACAAGGGCTTTTATGAATATTGCAGGCACAGAGTGACAAACAARCGTGGCATTTTCAGGCAGCATTCATAAGTAACATAGAAAATATGCATGCGTGCTATGTGCAGTATTAAAGCACACGCTTTCAACCAATCAGGATGTGAGATTTTTAATGGTTATTTTATAAAGAGATTATATAGACGATTTCTACAAACCTCGAAGATAAGATTTTGTGTTAAGAGAGCTATATTTTTTCAAAAAGTTTTTGTATATTGTGTTTTCCATAGCATGCATAAGATTTTGTTTGAAATTGCCTTGTTCTTAAATCTAAGCAATGCCATACTTTTGACAATACAATACAATAATACAAGTTTATTTGCTTGGGTTTTCGAGTTTTTTTTGGGGGGGGGGGGGTGAGCTTAGACCCCAGCCTTTTTATGTTTAATTACATTTATTATAATATTAAAGCAAGGAGAACTGAATATATAGAACGATAATTACGTTCATTAATTTAGACTGAACAAGAAACTATCAATTAACTMATTATAGTAATATACTTTATATATCACAATGAAAGTCAATTAATCACAAGATGAGAAAGAAAAAAAGATCRTAAAAGATCAACTGACATGATTGTCAATTAACTAATTATAGTTATATGCAWTACATGYATACACTCAATCAAAGAATCGTTGTCAGGTTTGGAAACATAGAACATAGAAGCTGAGACAGAAATGGTACATGGGAAATGACATAATTATATTATAATTTATTCATTTGCACCATCCATGCAGTCGGCTTAGAATGCCAAACGAGTATTAAAAACAGTGGATGATRCCAYGGGTCGCCGGTCACGGCATGCATCTAATTAACTTACTTCCCATGTGTCATTTCGGTCTCAGCTTCTATGTTCTATGTTTCTAAACCTGACAACGATTCTTCAATTGAGTGTATATGTAACAATGAGGGTCAATTAATTACAAGATGAAAAAAAAAAGTTTAAATGGACAACGTTCGTAAATCTCTGAAAAGATCGACTGACAAGATGGTTATTTGTTTTTTACAACTAGAGAGTGGAGGATTATCTTTAGCCAAAGCAGGACAGCTGCCTGCACTGCTGGYAAAAGAGAAACAAACACTTAAAGACGAAAAAAGAAAATTGTCCTTTGATCGCATCAAGAGAGAMAAGCAGTTCAGACATTATTACCAGGTAATGTTCAACCTCTTAATGTCAATCTAGTAGCATGTTTTAGTGACAGTGACAAGCTRCTGTTGAAGTRTCAACTGGGATCCTTGCTAGAGGTCATTCAATTTTCATACAAAAAGGGTGAAAGGTAAATTTTTACTGCCTTCTTCCTTCCACTCATTCATTAATCCATTCATTCTTTCTTTCATTCTTCATTCCTTCTTTCCTTCCTTCCTTCCTTCTTTCCTTCCTTCTTTCCTTCCTTTCCTTCCTTCTCTCTTTAACTTTAATCATTAGTGATCAATACACAAATAATTAGTGACACAACCAATCTGTTTTATATCCAAAGTCTCTCCTTCAGTCTCTGACAATACTGGAACAGYTGATCAGCAAGCACAGACTACAGGCTCAACTGGAATATGACAATATAACTACAAGCTGGCTGGCAGCAAAATGTGATGCAATGTGCCTTAAAATCAAGTAAGACAATTCGTTTAGTTGTGAAATAAGGACAGGATATTTATTTAAGCCTGATGAGTATTTATTGGTATA